CTGGTTTAGTCAATGTGAAGATTAGTTTGTGATTGACAGCTGTCTAAGCCAATCAGATTTCACTGAGTTATGGGCGCTGTAGAATAAATCAGATTTAAGGAGCGTGAACTCACCTGTCCGTCTCTTCACCTGTCCGTCTCTTCACCTGTCTCTTCACCTGTCCGTCTCTTCACCTGTCTTCACCTGTCTCTTCACCTGTCTGTCTCACCTGTCTCTTCACCTGTCTGTCTCTTCACCTGTCTCTTCACCTGTCTTCACCTGTCTTCACCTGTCCGTCCCTTCACCTGTCCGTCTCTTCACCTGTCTCTTCACCTGTCTTCACCTGTCTCTTCACCTGTCTCTCTTCACCCGTCTCTTCACCTGTCTCTCTCTCTCACCTGTCTCTTCACCTGTCTTCCACTGTGTCTTCACCTGTCTCTCTTCACCTGTCTCTTCACCTGTCTCTTCACCTGTCCTCACCTGTCTCTTCACCTGTCTCTCACCTGTCTCTTCACCTGTCTCTTCACCTGTCTCTTCACCTGTCTCTTCACCTGTCTCTTCACCTGTGTCTCTTCACCTGTCTCACCTGTCTCTTCACCTGTCTCTTCACCCGTCTCTTTCACCTGTCTCTCTCTCACCTGTCTTCACCTGTCTCTTCACCTGTCTCTTCACCTGTCTTCACCTGTCTCTTCACCTGTCTTCTTCACCTGTCTCTTCACCCGTCTCTTCACCTGTCTCTCACCTGTCTCTTCACCTGTCTTCACCTGTCTCTTCACCTGTCTCTTCACCTGTCTCTTCACCTGTCTCTTCACCTGTCTCACCTGTCTCTTCACCTGTCTCTTCACCCGTCTCTTCACCTGTCTCTTCACCTGTCTCTTCACCTGTCTCTTCACCTGTCTCACCTGTCTCACCTTCACCTGTCTCTTCACCTGTCTCACCTGTCTCTTCACCTGTCTCTTCACCTGTCTCTTCACCTGTCTCACCTGTCTCTTCACCTGTCTCTTCACCTTCACCTGTCTCTTCTCTTCACCTCTCTTCACCTGTCTCTTCACCTGTCTCTTCACCTGTCTCTTCACCTGTCTTCTTCACCTGTCTCTTTCACCTGTCTCTTCACCTGTCTCTTCACCTGTCTCTTCACCTGTCCGTCTCTTCACCTGTCTTTCACCTGTCTCACCTGTCTTCACCTGTCGTCTCTTCGCCGTCTCTTCACCTGTCCGTCTCTTCACCTGTCTTCACCTGTCTCTTCACCCGTCTCTTCGCCGTCTCTTCACCTGTCCGTCTCTTCACCTGTCTCTTCACCTGTCTCTTCACCTGTCTCTTCACCCGTCTCTTCACCCGTCTCTTCACCGTCTCTTCACCTGTCTCTTCACCCGTCTCTTCACCTGTCTCGTCTCTTCACCTGTCTCTTCACCCGTCTCACCTGTCCGTCTCTTCACCTGTCTCTTCACCCGTCTCTTCACCTGTCTCTTCGCCCGTCTCTTCACCTGTCCGTCTCTTCACCTGTCTCTTCACCCGTCTCTTCACCTGTCTCTTCACCCGTCTCTCCCGTCTCTCGCCCGTCTCTTCACCTGTCCGTCTCTTCACCTGTCTCTTCACCCGTCTCTTCACCTGTCTTCACCCGTCTCTTCACCTGTCTCTTCACCTGTCTCTTCACCCGTCTCTTCACCTGTCTCTTCACCCGTCTCTTCACCTGTCTCTTCAACCCGTCTCTTCACCTGTCCCGTCTCTTCACCCGTCTCTTCACCTGTCCGTCTCTTCACCTGTCTCTTCACCTGTCTCTTCACCTGTCGTCCGTCTCTCACCCGTCTCTTCACCTGTCTCTTCACCCGTCTCTTCGCCCGTCTCTTCACCTGTCCGTCTCTTCACCTGTCTCTTCACCTGTCTTCACCTGTCCGTCTTTCACCTGTCTCTTCACCTGTCTCTTCACCCGTCTCTTCACCTGTCTCTTCACCTGTCTCTTCAGTCTCTTCACCCGTCTCTTCACCCGTCTCTTCACCCGTCTCTTTCACCTGTCCGTCTCTTCACCTGTCCGTCTCTTCACCTGTCTCTTCACCGTCCGTCTCTTCACCTCTCTTCACCTGTCTCTTCACCCGTCTCTTCACCCGTCTCTTCACCCGTCTCTTCACCTGTCCGTCTCTTCACCTGTCCGTCTCTTCACCTGTCCGTCTCTTCACCTGTCTTCACCTGTCTCTTCACCTGTCTTCACCTGTCCTGCTGTTGGACCTGGTTTGAAGCGTCTCAGTGACATGTGACTCTGCGTTTTTGCATAATACGTGAAAAGTTTTGCATTTTGCGTAATTTTCTTTGTCAATTTGCATTTTCACAGCGAGACACAAACCACACGGGGACGAGACGGAGAATCTGAATAACGTCGTGGAACAATCGGACCCAAGAGTCGTGTTTTTCCTACAGCTGCGGATCTTTAGTCGTTTATTTGTTTCAACGGTGCAGGAGACAGAAGCGGACAGAGTTCCAGGTCAGATCTGTGGAGAGGCGACCCCCGCTCACAGTCACTGTGTCTGTTTTTCGAGTCCGTGAATCCGCGTGTCACTCGTTCATTTGTTTTTTCAATATAAAACCAAAAATAAGAAAATGAAAAAAAAAAAAAAAAAAAAAAAAAACTATTTTCAAAACTAGTTTTCAAAACCAAAATGAAAAAAACTAACAAAAAAAACAAAAACCAAAAAAAACAGATAATGATTCGTTTTTACAATTTTTGTGTTTAAATGAAAAATGGAAAAACCAGGACTAAACCAGGACTAAACCAGGACTGGACCAGGACTAAACCAGAACTGAACCAGGACTGGACCAGGACTAAAACCAGGACTAAACCAGGACTGAACCAGGACTGAACCAGGACTAAACCAGGACTAAACCAGGACTAAACCAGGAATAAAACCAGGACTAAACCAGGTCTAAACCAGGAATAAACCAGGTCTAAACCAGGACTAAACCAGGACTAAACCAGGACTAAACCAGGTCTAAACCAGGACTAAACCAGGACTAAACCAGGTCTAAACCAGGAATTAAACCAGGACTAAACCAGGACTAAACCAGGACTAAACCAGGACTAAACCAGGTCTAAACCAGGTCTAAACCAGGTCTAAACCAGGACTAAACCAGGACTAAACCAGGTCTAAACCAGGACTAAACCAGGACTAAACCAGGACTAAACCAGGACTAAACCAGGTCTAAACCAGGACTAACCAGGACTAAACCAGACTAAACCAGTCCAACTACCAGGACTAAACCAGAACTAACCAGGACTAAACCAGACTAAACCAGGTCTAAACCAGGACTAAACCAGGTCTAAACCAGGTCTAAACCAGGACTAAACCAGGACTAAACCAGGACTAAACCAGGACTAAACCAGGTCTAAACCAGGACTGACCAGGTCTAAACCAGGACTAAACCAGGTCTAAACCAGGACTAAACCAGGTAAACCAGGACTAAACCAGGACTGGAACCAGGACTAAACCAGGTCTAAACCAGGACTAAACTAAACCAGGTCTAAACCAGGACTAAATGAGGTCTAAACCAGGACTGAACCAGTGTCATTAGCTGAGTATAAATATATTCACGCTGTAAAGTGGAGCTGTTTAAAGTCACACTGTAGAACATTCCAGACAGAGCGGTGACGTCTCCATGGAAACGAGCAGGTTTTTATGACTTTTGAGTTTCGCGTGTTCCTGGTTCGACTGTACAAACCTGCTCAAACGCTCACGTCTCTTTGGCATGAAGGAAACAAAAGTGTCAAACGTTTCCTGGACAAATCCTGCACATTTTGTTCTTGCTGAGGAAAAGACTAAACTTTAAAGGTGCACTGCGGAACTTTTTCGGTTGGAGCTGCTTGTTTCTGTATTAAATTTGGATTTGTGGATTTTAAAACACACGAACAAACAAACATGACAATTTGTATCATCATCTGTGTGTTTGTGAATATTAAAGAGATAAATAAAACTCCATAAGAAACTGACTATAAACTAGACCTGGTTTAGTCCTGGTTTAGTCCTGGTTTAGACCTGGTTTAGACCTGGTTTAGTCCTGGTTTAGTCCTGGTTTAGACCTGGTTTAGACCTGGTTTAGACCTGGTTTAGTCCTGTTTTAGACCTGTTTAGACCTGGTTTAGTCCTGTTTTAGTCCCCTGGTTTAGTCCTGGTTTAGTCCTGGTTTGGTCCTGGTTTAGTCCCATTTAGTCCTGTTTTAGTCCTGGGTTAGACCTGGGCTAGACTTGGTTTAGTCCTGGTCCAGTCCTGGTTTAGTCCAAGTTTAGTCCTGGTTTAGACCTGGTTTAGTCCTGGTTTAGTCCTGTTTTAGTCCTGGTTTAGACCTGGTTTAGTCCTGGTTCAGTCCTGGTTCAGTCCTGGTTCAGTCCTAGTCCTGGTCCTGGTTTTAGTCCTAGTTTAGAGTCCTGGTTCAGTCCTGGTTTAGTCCTGGTTTAGTCCTGGTTTAGTCCTGTTTAGTCCTAGTTTAGTCCTGGTTTAGTCCTGGTTCAGTCCTGGTTTAGTCCTGGTTCCTGGTTCAGTCCTGGTTCAGTCCTGGTTTTAGTCCTGGTTTAGTCCTGGTTTAGTCCTGGTTTAGTCCTGGTTTTAGTCCTGGTTTAGTCCTGGTTTAGTCCCTGGTTTAGTCCTGGTTCAGTCCTGGTTTTCAGTCCTGGTTCAGTCCTGGTTCAGTCCTGGTTTTTAGTCCTGTTTAGTCCTGGTTTTAGTCCTGGTTTAGTCCTGGTTTAGTCCTGGTTTTAGTCCTGGTTTAGTCCTGGTTTTAGTCCTGGTTTAGTCCTGGTTCAGTCCTGGTTTAGTCCTGGTTCAGTCCTGGTTCAGTCCTGGTTTAGTCCTGGTTTAGATCCTCCTGGTTCAGTCCTGGTTCAGTCCTGGTTCAGTCCTGGTTTAAATGACGTCTTATCGTAAATCTGTGAACTCGTTTACAGTTTGTTTGTTTTTTTAAATCTGTGCATTTGTGAACGTGAACGAGACAAAAGCGACTGCATCGGAAACTGACCATAGACCGACGGTGCACATGTAGCTCCCCCCCGGCGCGGCGTCTGTCAGCGCTCAAGTATCTGGAGAATGCTGCAGGTCAGAGTCTGCAAACGGGAAAAACCCCACAGCGCAGAGACTTTCCCGGATAAAAACGACAGGTTCAGTTCCTCCCCGAGCAGAGACGGAGGCGGCAGGCGACGGAGGCGGCAGGTGCGGCGCCTGTCAGCATGGACGCGCTCGGGTTCTGGATCTTCTGCGTCGCCTTCGCGGGTCTGGAGGCGTCGCCGTACATGGGCATGACCATGACCTACTACCCCAAAGAGACCGGGACCAACACGTCTCACCAGGTAAATCTGACCCGGTTTAGACCCGGTTTAGACCCGGTTTAGACCCGGTTTAGACCCGGTTTAGTCCTGGTTTAGACCTGGTTTAGACCCGGTTTAGTCCTTTTAGACCTGGTTTAGACCCGGTTTAGACCCGGTTTAGACCTGGTTTAGACCCGGTTTAGACCTGGTTTAGACCCGGTTTAGACCTGGTTTAGACCCGGTTTAGACCTGGTTTAGACCTGGTTTAGTCCTGGTTTAGTCCTGGTTTAGACCTGGTTTAGACCCGGTTTAGACCTGGTTTAGTCCTGGTTTAGACCTGGTTTAGACCTGGTTTAGACCCGGTTTAGACCTGGTTTAGTCCTGGTTTAGTCCTGGTTTAGTCCTGTTTAGACCCGGTTTAGACCCGGTTTAGACCCGGGTTTTTAGACCTGGTTTAGACCTGGTTTAGACCTGGTTTAGTCCTGGTTTAGACCTGGTTTAGACCTGGTTTAGTCCTGGTTTAGTCCTGGTTTAGTCCTGGTTTAGTCCTGGTTTAGTCCTGGTTTAGTCCTGGTTTAGTCCTGGTTTAGACCTGGTTTAGACCTGGTTTAGTCCTGGTTTAGACCTGGTTTAGACCTGGTTTAGACCTGGTTTAGTCCTGGTTTAGTCCTGGTTTAGACCTGGTTTAGACCTGGTTTAGTCCTGGTTTAGTCCTGGTTTAGTCCTGGTTTAGACCTGGTTTAGTCCTGGTTTAGTCCTGGTTTAGTCCTGGTTTAGACCTGGTTTAGTCCTGGTTTAGTCCACCTGTTTAGTCCTGTTTAGTCCTGGTTTAGTCCTGGTTTAGTCCTGTTTAGTCCTGGTTTAGTCCTGGTTTAGTCTGGTTTAGTCCAGTTTTAGTCCTGGTTTAGACCTGGTTTAGATCTGGTTCAGTCCTGGTTTAGTCCTGGTTAGTCCTGGTTTAGTCCTGGTTTAGTCCTGGTTTAGACCTGGTTTAGTCCATGTTTAGTCCTGGTTTAGTCCTGATGTAGACCTGGTTTAGTCCTGGTTTAGATCTTGTTTAGTCCTGGTTTAGATCTGGTTCAGTCCTGGTTTAGTCCTGGTTTAGACCTGGTTTAGTTCTAGTTTAGATCTGGTTTAGTCCTGGTTTAGTCCAGATTTAGACCTGGTTTAGACCTGGTTTAGTCCAGGTTTAGTCCTGGTTTAGTCCTGTTTTAGTCCTGATTTAGTCCTGAAACATACTTAATCAAATGATCTTTAAGCACACGTCTTTCATCTTTTTGTCTTTTGTCTTCCGTCTTTTGTCTTTCGTCTTTTGTTTTTTGTCTTTCGTCTTTTGTTTTTCGTCTTTCGTCTTTTGTTTTTCGTCTTTTGTCTTTCGTCTTTCGTCTTTCGTGTGGCGGCGGCAGATCGAGATGCGTTACAAGATCACGGCGACTTACTGCGACGTGCATCACTTCCACTGCTTCAGCGGCGACTGCGGGCAGCAGGTGGCCGAGCGCTACGAGTTCGTGGACCGATCCTCGTCCGTCCTCGGTCAGATGTGTCAGTACGAGTCCGTCAAAACTCTGCAGACGCAGACCAACGCCCCCTACAGGATGAGGTGAGCGCTTTGTTGAAATAAATGGATTACACAGAGGGAAACCAGGACTAAACCAGGATTAAAACCACTGTGCCCTCTGTCCTCCCTCTGTTCTCCCTCTGTTTTCCCTCTGTTCTCCCTCTGTTCTCCCTCTGTTCTCTCTCTCTGTTTTCCCTCTGTCCTCCCTCTCTTCTCCTCTGTTCTCCCTCTGTCTCTCCCTCTGTCTCCCTCTGTTCTTCTCCTCTGTCTCCCTCTGTCTCTCTGTTCTCCTCTGTCCTGTCCTCCCTCTGTCCTCTCTCCCTGTTCTCTCCCTCTGTCTCCCTCTGTTCTCCCTCTCTGTTCTCCTCCCTCTTGTCTCCCTCTGTCCCTGTCCCTCCTTCCTCTGTTCTCCCTCTGTTTCTCCCTCTGTCCTCTCTGTCCTCTGTCCTCCCTCTGTCCTCTCCTCTGTCTCCCTCTGTCTCCCTCTGTTCTCTCTTCTCCCTCTTCTCCCTCTGTCCTCCCTCTGTCTCCCTCTGTCCTCCCTCTGTTTCCCTCTTTTCCTCTCTCTCCTCTCCTTCTCCTCCCCTCTGATCCTCCTCTGTCCTCTTCTCCTCCCTCTGTTCTCTCTCTGTCTCCCTCTGTCCTCCCTCTGTTCTCCCTCTGTTCTCCCTCTGTTCTGTTTCCCTCCCTCTGTCCTCCTCTGTCCTCCTCTCTCTCCCTCTGTTCTCCCTCTGTCCTCCCTCTGTTCTCCTCTGCTCCTCTCTCTTGTTCTCCTCTCTGTTCTCCCTCTGTTCTCCCTCTCTGTCTCCTCTCTGTCTCCCTCTCTTCTCCCTCTGTTCTCCTCTCTTCTCCTCTGTCCTCTCTCTCTTTCTCCTCTCTCTCCTCTGTTCTCCCTCTCTCTCCTCCTCTGTTCTCCCTCTCTTCTCCCTCTCTTTCTCCTCTGTCCCTCCTCTGTCCTCCCTCTGTTCCCCCTCTCTTCTGTTCTCCCTCTGTCCTCCCTCTGTCCTCCCTCTGCCTCCCTCTGTTCTCCCTCTGTCCTCCTCTGTCCTCCCTCTGTTCCTCCCTCTGTCCTCCCTCTGTCTCTCCCTCTCCCTCCCTCCCTGTTCTCCCTCTGTCCTCCCCCTCCCTTCTCTGTTCCTCCCTCTGTCCTCCTCTGTCCCTCTGTTCTCCTCTGTTCCCTCCCTCTGTCCTCCCTCTGTCCTCCTCTGTCCCTCTGTCTCCCTCTGTCCTCCTCTCCTGTTCCCTCTCTCCTCTGTCCTCCCTCTGTCTCCCTCTGTCCTCCCTCTGTTCCTCTTCTCCCTCTGTTCCTCCTCTGTTCTCCCTCTGTCCTCCCTCTGTCTCTCCCTCTCTCCTCTGTTCCCTCTGTCCTCCCTCTGTTCTCCTCTGTCTCTCTCTTCTCCTCTGTCCTCCCTCTGTTCTCCCTCTCTCTCCCTCCTCCTCTCCTCTGTTCTCCCTCTTCTCCCTTCTCCCTCTGTCCTCCCTCTGTTCTCCCTCTGTTCTCCTCTGTCCTCCTCTCCTGTCCTCCCTCTGTTCTCCTCTCTTCTCCCTCTGTTCTCCTCTGTCCTCCCTCTGTCCTCCCTCTGTCTCTCCCCTGTTCTCCTCTGTTCTCCCTCTGTCCTCCCTCTCTCTTCTTCCCTCTGTCCTCCTCTGTTCTCCCTCTGTCCTCCCTCTCCTCCTCCCTCTGTTCTCCCTCTTCTCTCCTCTTCTCCCTCTCTGTTCTCCCTCTGTTTCTCTTCCCTCTGTCCTCCCTCTGTTCTCCCTCTGTCCCCTCTCCTCTGTTCTCCCTCTGTCTCCCTCTGTTCTCTCTCTCCTCTCCTCTGTCTCCCTCCCTCTCTGTCTCCCTCTCTCCTCTGTTCTCCTCTCTGTCCTCTCTTGTTCTCCCTCTGTCCTCCCTCTGTTCTCCCTCTGTTTCTCCTCTGTTCTCCTCTCTCCCTTTGTTCTCCCTCTGTTTCCCTCTTCTCTCTGTCCTCTGTTCTCCCTCTGTTTCTCCCTCTGTTCTCCCTCTGTCCTCTCTGTTCTCCCTCTGTTCTCCCTCTGTTCCCTCTCCTTCTCCCCTCTGTCCTCCCTCTGTTCTCCCTCTGTTCTCCCTCTGTCCTCCCTCGTCCTCTCTCCTCTGTTCTCCCTCTGTTTCTCCCTCTGTTCTCCTCTGTTCTCCCTCTGTTTCTCCCTCTGTCCTCCCTCTTCTCCCTCTGTCCTCCCTCTGTCCCCTCTCTTCTCCCTCTGTCCTCCCTCTGTTCTCCCTCTGTTCCTCCCTCTCTTCTCCCTCTGTCCTCCTCTGTTCTCCCTCCCTTCTCTCCCTCTCTTCTCCCCTCTGTCCTCTCCTCTTCCCTCTCTTCTCCCTCTGTCCTCCCTCTGTTTTCCCTCCTTTCCCTCTTCCCCCTCTGTCTCCCTCTGTCCTCCCTCTGTCTCCCTCTGTTCTCCCTCTGTCTCCCTCTCTTCTCCCTCTGTCCTCTCCTCCCTCTGTTCTCCCTCTCTTCTCCTCCTCTCGTTCTCTCCCTCTGTCCTCCCTCTGTCCTCTGTTTCCCTCTCTTCTCTCTGTCTCCCTCTGTTCTCTCTCTGTTCTCCCTCTGTTCTCTCTCTTCTCCCTCTGTTCTCCCTCTCTTCTCCCTCTGTTCTCTCTCTGTTCTCCCTCTGTCCTCCCTCTCTTCTCCCTCTGTTCTCCCTCTCTTCTCCCTCTGCTCTCCCTCTGTCCTCCCTCTGTTCTCCCTCTGTTCTCCCTCTCTTTCTCCCTGTTCTCTCTCTTCTCCTCCTTCTCTCTTCTCCCTCTGTCCTCCTCTGTTCTCCCTCTGTCTCCCTCTGTCCTCCCTCTGTCTCCTCTCCCTCCTGTCCTCCCTGTTCTCACCTCTGTCCTCCCTCTGTTCTCCCTCTGTTCTCCCTCTGTCTCTCCTCTTTTCCCTCTGTTCTCCCTCTGTCCTCTCCCTGTCTCCCTCTGTTCTCCCTCTGTCCTCCCTCTGTTCTTCCTCTGTCCTCCCTCTGTCCTCCCTCTCTCTCTCCCTCTGTTCTCCCTCTTTCTCCTCTGTCTCTCCCTCTCTTCTCCTCTGTTTCTCTCTCTCTTCTCCCTCTGTTCCTCTCTCTCCCTCTTTCTCCCTCTGTTCTCCCTCTCTTCTCCCTCTCTTCTCCCTCTGTCTCCCTCTGTCCTCCCTCTGTTTCTCCCTCTCTTCTCCCTCTGTTCTCCCTCTGTCCTCTCTCTGTCCTCCCTCTTTCTCCCTCTGTCCCCTCCCTCTCTCTCCCTCCCTGTCCTCCCTCTGCTCTCCCTCTGTTCTCCCTCTCTGTCCCCCTCTTCCTTCCCTCTGTCCTCCCTCTGTCCCCCTCTGTCTCCCTCTGTTCCCCTCTGTCCTCCCTCTCTGTCTCCCTCTGTCCTCCCTCTGTCCCTCTGTTTCTCCCTCTGTTCTCCCTCTGTCCTCCTCTCTTCTCCCTCTGTTCCTCTCCTCTGTTCTCCCTCTGTCCTCCCTCTGTCCTCCCTCTGTTCTCCCTCTGTTCTCCCTCTGTTCTCCCTCTCCTTCTCCCTCTGTCTCCCTCTCCTCTGTCCTCCCTCTGTCCTCCCTCTGTCCTCCCTCTGTTCTCCCTCTGTCCTCCCTCTGTCCTCCCTCTGTCCTCCCTCCCTCTTCCTTCCTCTGTCCTCCTCTCCTCTCCTCTGTCCTCCCTCTGTTCTCCCTCTGTCCTCCCTCTGTCCTCCCTCTGTTCTCCCTCTGTCCTCCCTCTGTTCTCCCTCTGTTCTCCCTCTGTCCTCCCTCTGTTCTCTCCTCTCTCTTCTCCCTCTGTTCCCTCTGTCTCTCTCTGTTCTCCTCTGTCCTCCTCTGTTCTCCTCTGTCTCTCTGTTCTCCCTCTGTCTCCCTCTGTCTCCCTCTGTTCTCCCTCTGTCCTCCCTCTGTTCTCCCTCTGTCCTCCCTCTGTTCTCCTCTGTCCTCCCTCTTCTCCCTCTGTTCTCCCTCTGTTCTCCCTCTCCTCCCTCTGTTCCTCCCTCTGTTCTCCCTCTGTTCTCCTCTGTTCTCCTCTGTCTCCCTCTGTCTCCTCTCTGTCCTCCTCTTCTCTCCTCTGTCCTCCCTCTGTTCTCCCCTCTGTTCTCCCTCTCCTCTCTGTTCTCCTCTCTGTCCTCCTCTCTCCTCTCCTGTCCTCCCTCTGTCCTCCCTCTGTTCTCCCTCTGTCTCCCTCTCTCCCTCTGTCCTCCCTCTGTTCTCCCTCTGTCCTCCCTCTTCTCCCTCTGTTCCCTCCCTCTCTTCTCCCTCTGTCCTCCCTCTGTTCTCCCTCTGTCCTCCTCTCCCTCTCTTCTCCCTCTCTTCTCCCTCTGTTCTCCTCTGTTCCTCCTCTGTTCTCCTCTCTGTCCTCCCTCTGTTTTCCCTCTCTTTCCCTCCTCTGTCCTCCCTCTGTTCTCCCTCTGTTTTCCCTCTCTTCTCCCTCTGTCCTCCCTCTGTTCTCCCTCTGTCTCCCTCTCTTCTCCCTCTGTTCTCCCTCTCTTCTCCCTCTGTCCTCCCTCTGTTCTCCCTCTGTTCTCCCTCTCTTCTCCCTCTGTTCTCCCTCTCTTCTCCCTCTGCTCTCCCTCTGTTCTCCCTCTGTCTCCTCTCTTCTCCCTCTGTTCTCCTCCCTCTGTCCTCCCTCTGCTCTCCCTCTGTCCTCCCTCTGTTCTCCCTCTGTTCTCCCTCTGTCCTCCCTCTGTTCTCCCTCTGTTCTCCCTCTGTCCTCCCTCTGTTCTCCCTCTGTCCTCCCTCTGCCTCTCCCTCTGTCCTCCCTCTGTTCTCCCTCTCTTCTCCCTCTGTTCTCCCTCTCTTCTCCCTCTCTCCCTCTGTCCTCCCTCTGTTCTCCCTCTGTCCTCCTCTGTCTCCCTCTGTTCTCCCTCTGTTCTCCCTCTGTTCTCCCTCTGTTCTCCCTCTGTTCTCCCTCTCTTCTCCCTCTGTCCTCCCTCTGTTCTCCCTCTGTTCTCCCTCTGTCCTCCCTCTGTTTTCCCTCTGTTCTCCCTCTGTTCTCCCTCTCTTCTCCCTCTGTTCTCCCTCTCTTCTCCCTCTGTCCTCCCTCTGTCCTCCCTCTGTTCTCCCTCTGTTCTCCCTCTGTCCTCCCTCTGTTCTCCCTCTGTTCTCCCTCTCTTCTCCCTCTCTCTCCCTCTGTTCTCCCTCTGTTCTCCCTCTGTTCTCCCTCTCTTCTCCCTCTGTTCTCCCTCTGTTCTCCCTCTGTTCTCCCTCTGTCCTCCTCTGTTCCTCTCTCTCCCTCTGTCCTCCCTCTGTCCTCCCTCTGTCCTCCCTCTGTTCTCCCTCTGTTCTCCCTCTCTTCTCCCTCTGTTCTCCCTCTGTTCTCCCTCTGTTCTCCCTCTGTTGGCAGGATCACAGATCGCGCAGACGGCTTCGCGTTCGGTACGACCATCGAGGTTTTCACGGAGGTGGATCTGCGGACGCGTTCGGACACGACGCGAGCCGACCACCCCCCGCAGGGCACCATCATGTCGCCCGTCAGGTGAGTGACATAACACATCAAATAAGCCACAACACATTAAAAAAGCCACAACACATCAAAAAGCCACAACACAGCAGAAAAAGCCACAACATATCAAAAAGCCACAACACATCAAAAAGCCACAACACATCAAATAAGCCACAACACATTAAAAAGCCACAACACATCAAAAAGCCACAACACATAAAAAAGCCACAACACATAAAAAGCCACAACACATCAAAAAGCCACAACACAGCAAAAAAGCCACAACACACGCAAAAAGCCACAACACATTAAAAAGCCACAACACAGCAAAAAAGCCACAACACATCAAAAAAGCCACAACACAGCAAAAAAGCCACAACACATCAAAAAAGCCACAACACATCAAATAAGCCACAACACATAAAAAAGCCACAACACATAAAAAAGCCACAACACATCAAAAAGCCACAACACAGCAAAAAGCCACAACACACCAAAAAAGCCACAACACATTAAAAAGCCACAACACAGCAAAAAGCCACAACACAGCAAAAAAGCCACAACACATTAAAAAAGCCACAACACATCAAAAAAGCCACAACACCACAACCATCAAAAAGCCACAACCCATCAAAAAAGCCACAACACATTAAAAAAGCCACAACACATTAAAAAGCCACAACACATCAAAAAAGCACCAACACATTAAAAAGCCACAACACATCAAAAAAGCCACAACACATTAAAACGCCACAACACATAAAAAAGCCACAACACATCAAAAAAGCCACAACACATTAAATAAGCCACAACACATTAAAAAACACAACACATTAAAAATCCACAACACATAAAAAAGCCACAACACACACACGTTAAAAAACACAACACATTAAAAAGCCTCAACACATCAAATAAGCCACAACACATTAAATAAGCCACAACACATAAAAAAGCCACAACACATAAAATAAGCCACAACACATTGAAAAGCCACAACACATCAAAAAAGCCACAACACATCAAATAAGCCACAACACATTAAATAAGCCACAACACATAAAAAAGCCACAACACATAAAAATAAGCCACAACACATCAAATAAGCCACATCATAAAAAAGCCACAACACATAAAAAAGCCACAACACATAAAAAGCCACAACACATCAAAATAAGCCACAACACATTAAATAAGCCACAACACATCAAAAAGCCACAACACATCAAATAAGCCACAACACATCAAATAAGCCACAACACATCAAATAAGCCACAACACATTAAAAAAGCCACAACACATAAAAAAGCCACAACACATAAAAAAAGCCACAACACATTAAAAAGCACATTAAAAACCACAACACATCAAGTGAAAAGTAAAGGAACGGAGAAGTTGGAAATGACCGAGGGAGAACGGCGCCACCTACAGTCCTGAACAAGTTCTCTGTTTGGTTTAAGGAAAAGAACAGGAGGAATAAAAAGTATTAAAGTATCAGTTTATAAATTAGTGGAGCTGATAAAGACCAAAATAGTTCACTTTTATGGTACAAACATGAAACTTTGCCAGATTAGTAACACCCCCAGGACTAATATTTCTGGATAAAATATAAAATATGAATTTGTGGTAAATAAAATAACTTTTTAAATACATTAAAGCAGGAGTGTCCGGGGGTCGTATCCAACCGACTTTGATACGGATCAGAAAACTCATGTCATATAAACCCCAAAAATAACAATAAGTTCAAATATTTGTGCAGAGAAACACAAATCTATTACAGAAATCTTTTTTAATTGATGAACTCTTTCTTTTACAAAATATTATAATATTATGAACAACCTGAAACTTAAAAAAAAAATACAATTTCAACACAAAGTTTTGAACATGAACTTGTCTGTAAACAGGAATAAGTCCATTTTTGTTGTAAAATCCTGCACTCGGCTCCACTTTTCTCATGTTGGACATTTTTCTGATGAGGGTGTCACGGTCAACAGTCAAAACGATCGTCCTTTAAGAGCGTTTGGAAAGAGACAAGTCTTCATTTGTGCTGCTCTGGTGGGAGGGGCCACGTACAGAGACGCTGGAGACGCTGCTGTGATAAACACCACAGAAAATTAACAAGATTTTAAGAGAAAATATCATTAAAATATTTGAGTAGAAAATCAGCCAAGGGCCAGATTAAAGGTCTTGGAGGGCCGGATCTGGCCCCCGGGCCGTATGTTTGAGACCCGTGCATTAAATGATGGCTCTAAAACTGTGGAACATTCCAGACAAAACAATAACATCTCCATGACAAGCATCTGACGGAACCTCCACCAGAAAAGTTACACAGTGCAGCTTTAAGGAGTCGTTCAGGTTTGATTTGGCCAAAGCGCTGATACTTTTTTTTTTCCACAGAGTCGCTTCAAACTGTGTGACGGAGATTCGCCCTCTGATCTTTGACCCGGACGGAGACAGGGTCGTGTGCAGATACGGTCGAGCTCCGTACGAGTGTGACCCGTGTGACCAGCCTCCAATCTTCCACTTCACTCCGGTAAAAAACACACTTCTCCTGCACTCAGCTGTGTCGTAAAACTTCTTAAAGGTCCTAGATCACACAAAACTGACTCTGTGAGGTTTAAGTCGTGTTCTAATGTTGTTTCCTCGTCAAAAACAGATCTGGACTTGTGTTTTGTTTCATTCACATGTTTGAATAACTCTTTATTATCATTAGTCTATTTAGATCTGCAAAGCTTAAAATGCAAAATGTTTCACTTTGTGATGGTCGTTCTTAAGTGAACAGCTCCTTTTACCTGTAGCCAGTGTTGGGGAAGTTACTTCAAAAAAGACATGTTTGCTCTTTACTCATTACTTCTTTAAAGCGTACTTACTTTACTTAGTTACCCTTTATAGAAAGTAACTTTTTATATTACTTGTTAGTTTTGGCGTAAACTCCATCTATTTATTTATTTATTTAATAGGGACGGTGCATATTAATGAACATCTACAACATTGCAGTGTAAATATGCCAGATTATAGCAGGAATGCTCATTTCCATCTGTCGTCCCTCAGCAGGAAACACCACAAATTTAAACAAAACAAAAACAAGTACCAAATCTATACTAAAAGTGTCCACAAGTCTGTTTTTTCTTTAGCCGCTCTTTTAAGGAGGACTTGAAGGTGGCAAGAGTTGAAGTTTCTCTTATTGACAGTGACAAACTGTTCCAAAATGTTGTGCCTGTGACTGAGACACACTTTGTCTGAGTCTGGAGCGTCTGTGTGGGACGTCACAGTTCCCCCGGACTGTGGCCCTAGTCCCACTCAGTCTTTAGTTTAATAAAATCCTGTAATGGAGGAGGGGCAAGTCCATGCAAAACTTTATAGATAAAACATCCATATTTAAAACCAATAAAATTATTAAAATTAAGCAGATTATACTTGTCTAAACTAGTGCAGTGGTGAAATGAGAATAGTTTCTTGTCCAATATTTTTATGGCTTTTTAAAAAAGTGATTCGATGGGTTTGAGTGTTGTGCAGCAGCGAGTGACCGTGTTGTTCTGCAGTCGTCTATATGAAACAGAATCATGGAGTGTAAAAACATAAAAGGTCTTACTTGTCTAAAATTCACTAAGTTAAAATGAACAGTTTTTGTTTGGCACTTAATGTGTTTCTTAAATGTCAATGTCGGGTCCAAAGTCAGTCCCAGGTATTTAAACTCTTTGTCAGAAAGACATCTGAAGCTAAAAGACCGACAATCGACAAGAACCGTGAGGGAAAGAAGAAAAGAACTTTGCAGAGAGAGTTGAAGAGGACGTGAAACTGTTCAGAGGTAAACAGTAGGTGGGTCAGTCTGCTGGGGTATTCACCTCTGCGGGTGAGGGACGGCCGCTCGGGGCAGGAGGATCCCCTCGAGGGACCTCTCCTCGGGTGTTGCCAGCCCCTACTTCCTCTGAGGCGCCGCGACAGGCTCGGGGTCACCCAGGAAAGGCTCTGGGTGGAAGTGGCAGCTCCTCCCGCCTCTCACTGCTTCTCGGGGCTGTGGGATCAGTGCCCGCTGTGCCCTCTCCTCCCGGGCAGCTCCCAGCGCGACTGTCGACCGGGGCAGACCGTCCTCCCCAACTGCGTTTCGCCGCCAGAGCATGGACCAGCCCACGTACACAGAAAAGTACGACGGACTATAAGGGTCAGATAAAAAAATAATAATATGCTGGCACTACGAGAATAAAGTCGTAACATTTCAACATTAAAGTCGTAATATTATGAGAATAAAGTCGTAGTCAAAATAAAGTCGTAATATTATGAGAATATCGGCTGCTTGGAAAGTCTGAACGAGTGGAGAATTTGGAGCATTTTGTAAAGGAGAAGAATCTGTGTATCATTCGTTCATTCGACTGAATCAGGACTGAATCAGGACTGAATTGGGACTAAACCAGGACTAAACCGTTCTCGGTCTCAATCCTGGTATCAGTTCTTGTCTGGTCTCGGATCTCGTTTAGTCCTGGTTCAGTCCTGGTTCAGTCCGGAGGCTCAAATAATGAAGAAAATTGTTTTTCTTCACCTCCTTTGAACGGGAAATTGCACCTATATGTTAGAAAACATAGTGGAGCCAGTTGGCAACATCAGACGTAACGTTATCCCAGGGCTAATTAACAAATATCAGGTTCTCTGTATGTTTAGATTAAAACATTCACGGCTACAGCCACAGTGAGCATCAGTCTGAACCTTCAGTTTCCCGTTCAAAGGAGGTGTTTCTACACAATATTATACAGCAGCGTTCGGTTCCCGAATTCAAGACATTTTTACAATAGATTTTAATTAACCCACTTGTTGTTCTGTTGTAGCTTCTTGTGCTTTTACTCTGTTTTTACTCTGATACAAACTTGAGCTGCACAGTCTTGATCTTGATCGATGTTTCTTCTGCTCGATGAATAATGTCTGTGAAGTGATGACGTATTTTTGACAGTAAAGTTCCGTCTGTGAATTCGTATTCGTACTGATGAAAGTTTAATCGTGAGTTTTCATTTCGTGATTGTAATTCATGACGTCGTAATGTTTCAGTTCGTATTCTGATGGATAAAATACACACAATATATTTTATGTACGACTGGACTCATTTGAGAGTTTACAAATATTTATTTTATGCGCAACTACAGCCAAATACGCACGGATTTCTATTTTATGCGCACGAATATTTTTGACAGCTTTCTTACTCCACAGCTTTGTTTGAGTCGGAGTCCGGTGTTTCCGTGGTGACTGTTCCGTTTCGTGTGTTTGTGTTTGTGGTCAGAGCTGCGCGTTCACAGTGGAACCGGTGAACGCGTCGTCAGAAGGCGGATACGCGGTGGAGATGATGCTGGAGGATCACCCCACGCGCGACATCGTCCTGACCCAAAGCAACGGCACCGAGGAGGCGAGGAACTCCAGCCGCCACATCAGCTCCGTGCCCTTCCAGTTCGTCGTCCTGGGTGAGCGAGAAGAAGCGAACGGTCAGAGAGAAATATGGCCATACTTCACCGCGCGATAATCGGTGTGTCGTTCGTTTTTCAAAATAAAACCAAAAATAAGAAAATGAAAAAAAACAACAACAAAAAAACAAAAAAACTATTATTTTCTTCATTAGTTTTCAATTTTGTGTTTAAATGAAAAATGGAAAAAACAGATAACGGACGAAACCAGGACTAAACCAGGACTGAACCAAGTCTAAACCAGGACTGAACCAGGACTAAACCAGGACTAAACCAGGAAACCAGGACTAAACCAGGACTAAACCAGGACTGAAACCAGGACTGAACCAGGACTGAACCAGGACTAAACCAGGACTGAACCAAGTCTAAACCAGGACTGAACCAGGACTGAAACCAAGTCTAAAACCAGGACTAAACCAGGACCGAACCAGGACTAAACCAGGACCAAACCAGGACCGAAACCAGGACTAAACCAGGACTGAACCAGGACTAAACCAGGACTGAACCAAGTCTAAACCAGGACCGAACCAGGACCAAACCAGGACTGAACCAGGACTAAAACCAGGACTGAACCAGGACTGAACCAGGTCTAAACCAGGACAGAACCAGGACTGAACCAGGACTAAACCAGGACTAAATCAGGACTAAACCAGGACTAAACCAGGACTAAAAACAGGACTGAACCAGGACCAAACCAGGACTGAAACAGGACTAAATCAGGACTAAACCAGGTCTAAACCAGGACTAAACCAGCATTATATCGATATATACGATATGTCAGAGTCCATATCGAGTTTAAAAAATATCTCGATATATTTAAAATATCTCGATATATTTAAAATATCTCGATATCGCCCACTCCTACTTCCAATTAATGTTTTCATCTAAAATTACTCCCAAGAATTTTATCTCACTCATTCAAGGAAAGCGGTGGTACGGACGACCAATCACAGCTCTTATCGTCCGCGTCGCTTCCCCTGCTGACTCGACTTCTCAAGTTTCACTCTCTGAAATTCCGTCGCTGTTTTCCACTTTATAATCAACTTCATCATCACTTTTGAAATCTATAAAAGTCATTTTCTCTAAACTTATCCATAAAACACGTCCGCTCCTCATTATTTCTAAAACTGTGCGCCGCGATCTTTCCATTGCTCGTGTTTCGTGTTTTTTCCAGAAGCTACAATCGTCACTACTTCAGTTAACTTTGGAAAAAATCATTGAAACATGTCCTTGAATCCTATTGGTCAGTCTAGTGTGGGTTGTAGTGGCCCCGACCTGTCGCAGTCTCTGTTTACATGTGAAAAACCGAGTCGTTTCTAGTGTTCGTCAAATCACGTCTTTAGTGAAACAGCGGAGGAGACAAAAGACGTTATTAAAGATACAAGGGGGATGTCAAATGTCGTCTTCATGGAGGAAAGCGTTAAAGGTTGTATGGAGGATTTTTTTTTTAGTTTCAAATTGTCATTGAAAGATTAAAATACCATTACAGAGACGCAGCAGCTTTGTAATTATGATGACCGAAAAAAAAAAAGAATGAAAATCTATCAACTGTGGACGTGTTGAGGCCAGATAAACATCAGCCAATAGAAAACGAGGCTCCCTCATTTTCTATTGGCTGTTGGGTTGTCAATCAAACTCCCTAGTGTAACTGACTCGTCGGAGCGCGGGGATTACGTGGTTTACGCGGCGGTTCTTAGAGGCTTTTTCGAACTGTCGCTTCCTCGCATTTCGCACAAAGTTTGTCGCGACGGCGGACGAGAATCCACGACCGGTTCGCCGCGAAAGAAAGTCCGTTTTTGAGGTCGCTGAAAGAAGAAGAGAAGTGGAAAAGGAGCAAAGCCAAACTGAGGTGATTCTTGGAGATCTCGTCCAGCGATGGCGCGACCGAAGCAGACGAAGGGTCTAAAAACTGACGCGTCGGTCGTGGAATTACTTCTAGACAGGAAACTTCAACAGTAATTCTGAACGCGCACAAGGACTGTCGCTGTATTTCTCTTCCCTTAAAAAAATCCTCTATACAACCTTTAAGTCGTGCAGTCTGAACGTCGCCTAAGTCAAAGAATTCAAGACTGGACAAAGTTTTGGCAGAGGTGAAAAATATAAAGCCAACTGTTCCCACTACTTGTTTTGAGTCCGATAAGTCTATTTGTTTGTGTTTCAGTGCTTCCTGCTTTACCGTCCTGCACCGCGGGGATGTTTCTGCCGCAGTTTGTCGACCCGACTCCCGCTCACGGGCAGTGGATCTACGTGGAGTACCCTTCGCATTCCCAGATCTTCAGCGTCCAGGCCAACGCGACGAACGCCACGTAAGGCCCACGTTTAGAGGATTTCTACATTTACTTCTGTTTTACTTCTGTTTTATGTTTGTGGCGGTGAGTTCACCTCTGTATATTAAAGCCATTTATCGGCCAAAATGTACATTAAGCCGGACGTATACTGTGCGTTTTTTGACCCTTTTTGAGCCGATTTTTCACTCGTGCGACTGTTTTGAGGATCAGGACGAGTTTTGGCTTCATCGTGAGTCGTGCTTTGTGTAGTAAACATGGAGTAAAGAAAACCGATTAATACCTCACGACCAGCGGACACAGAAGCACAAGCAGGACATGAGGTTGTGGAGGACGATGACGCCGGCGACTGTTTTGGACACAGGACGTGGAGGCGCAGCTGATCACAGAACAGACGTTTGGCGAAAAACTTGATGCTCCTGACTAGAGCCCGACCGATATATCGGTTGACCGATATTATTGGCCGATATGAGCATCAGCAAGCATATCGGCTATCGGCCAATATACTTGCTGATAGGGGCCGATATTTCACGTGGGCATGTTACACGTCGTTATAAAGCTTAGACTCTCTACATTCTGTTCATTTAATCCAATTTACAGTCAGATAAATGTCTATTGATAAATGTATATTTGTGACTAGACTTGCATTGATGTAAACGAGCTGTGAACAGACGTGTGAATGATGAAATTTGCGCATATAAATAAGTACCGCGGCGCGCAGCATTTACGGCTAAAGGCTAATAGCGATTGTTTATTTACTAGCTAGGCTAGTAGTGATGAGTCGGTCGCGAACGAAGCGGCTCTTAGATCCGGCTCTTTAAAGCGAACGACGGGAGCCTGATCCTTATTGGGACTGGAAGTCGTGTTTTCTCTTTCTCTCACTTTTTTTCTCTTCTCATCGTGTGCAAACTCGTGGGAGTTTGACAGCGGCAGCGGCTCTAAACGAAACTTTCAAAAATATGCGTGTGCACAGGATAAAAAAAAACGTGCATATATATATATATATATATATATATATATATATATATATATATATATATATATATATAAAAATATATATATATATATATATATATATATTTTTAATATATATATATATATATATATATATATATACATATATATATATTATATATATATATATATATATATATATATATACATATATATATTTTTATATATATATATACATACATACACATATATACCCGAGAACCACAAACATGAATGGAGAATAAATATATACGACATAATCACCGAGCCGATCGCGAGGACTACACCAGGAACGGACCAGGACTAAACCAGGACTAGACTGGGACTAAACATGGACTAGACCGAGACTAAACAAGGACTAGACCCTGAATAGACCGACACTAAACCACGACTAGACTGGGACTAGACTGGGACTAGACCAGGACTAAACCAGGACTGATCCAGTGTCATTAGTGGAGTATAAATATAAACACGTCCCAGTCGTCGAGTCGATTTCCTCCGCTGATGTTTTATGTCATAAAAACACTCAAGTCTCTCAGTCTGGTCTGACATTGTTTCGGGAAAAGACCAGGACCGGGCTCTTGTTTCCAGGGCAACGGTCTGGCGTCAAGTATTTTTGTCCCGTTCGTCCACGGGTCAAAGACACGAGCGTCGGGGGCGTCTAAACTCAAAGGCTCCAAATAGAAACGTCAAGCCGTTTTTTGACACTTTGGTGTGAACGGCCCTTAAGAGTTTTGAGATCTTAAGCCACGCCCCCCTTTTTTAGTCGACGAATCGCTGAGCAGCTCTCGTCTCTCGTCCTGTTTACGTGTTTGTTTTGTTTGTTTGTTTGTTTTGTAGAGTTTCCAGTTTGTTGTTCAGTGGACCGTCTGGAGTTTATAAGACGCCAGAGGGAGACGGACTCTTCACTCTGCACTGGAACGTCAAAGACACCGACGACCACGAGACTTACCCTCTGTGCTTCGTCGCTGAAGTCCTCGTCGAGTAAATATCATCGTCATCATCTTCATCGTCGTCGTCTCGTCTGCTGTGTCCTTCACTTCTGCTTCATCCGCTTTTTGTGTTTAAATTTTAAATCTGTAATGTTAAAAAACGTTTACGTGACTTAAACTGAGATGAAGGACTGAACCAGGACTAAACCGAGGACTGAACCAGGACCAAACCGGTCTCAGTCCTGGTCTGGTCCCGGTTTTAGTCCTCGTCTCATTCCCGGTCTGGTCCTAGTCTCAGTTCTGGTCTGGTCTCAGTCTCAGTCCTCGTCTCAGTCCTGGTTCAGTCCTGGTTTAGTCCTTGTTCAGTCCTCGGTTCAGTCCTGGTTTAGTCCTGGTTCAGTTTTGGTTCAGTCCTGGTTCAGTCCAGGTTTAGTCCTGGTTTAGTCCTGGTTTAGTCCTGGTTCAGTCCTGGTTCAGTCCTGGTTCAGTCCTGGTTCAGTCCTCAGTTCAGTCCTGGTTTAGTCCTGGTTCACTTTTGGTTCAGTCCTGGTTCAGTCCAGGTTTAGTCCTGGTTTAGTCCTAGTTTAGTCATACTTTAGACTTGATTTAGTCCTGGTTTAGTCCTGGTTCAGTCCTCGGTTCAGTCCTGGTTCAGTCCTGGTTCAGTCCTGGTTCAGTCCTGGTTTAGTCCTGGTTCAGTCCTGGTTCAGTCTGGTTCAGTCCTGGTTTAGTCCTGGTTCAGTCCTGGTTCAGTCCTGGTTCAGTCCTGGTTTAGTCCTGGTTCAGTCCTGGTTTAGTCCTGGTTTAGTCCTGGTTCAGTCCTGGTTCAGTCCTGGTTCAGTCCTGGTTTAGTCCTGGTTCAGTCCTGTTTCAGTCCTGGTTCAGTCCTGGTTTAGTCCTGGTTCAGTCCTGGTTCAGTCCTGGTTTGTCCTGGTTTAGTCCTGGTTTAGTCCTGGTTTAGTCCTGGTTCAGTCCTGGTTTAGTCCTGGTTTAGTCCTGGTTTAGTCCTTGTTCAGTCCTGGTTCAGTCCTGGTTTAGTCCTGGTTCAGTCCTGGTTTAGTCCTGGTTCAGTCTGGTTCAGTCCTGGTTTCAGTCCTTGTTCAGTCTGGTTCAGTCCTGTTTAGTCCTGGTTCAGTCCTGGTTTTAGTCCTGGTTCAGTCCTTGTTCAGTCCTTGTTCAGTCCTGGTTCAGTCCTGGTTCAGTCCTGGTTCAGTCCTGGTTCAGTCCTGGTTTAGTCCTGGTTTAGTCTGGTTTAGTCCTGGTTTAGTCCTGGTTCAGTCCTGGTTAGTCCTTTTCAGTCCTGGTTCAGTCCTGGTTTAGTCCTGGTTCAGTCCTGGTTTAGTCCTGGTTCAGTCCTGGTTCAGTCCTGGTTCAGTCCTGGTTCAGTCCTGGTTCAGTCCTGGTTTAGTCCTTGTTCAGTCCTGGTTCAGTCCTGGTTCAGTCCTGGTTTAGTCCTGGTTCAGTCCTGGTTCAGTCCTGGTTTAGTCCTGGTTTAGTCCTGGTTCAGTCCGTACACGGCACAAAAGTCCAGCATGAAATCCACTTGAAATCAATCAATCTGTTTTTGTTTTTTTTTGTGTGTTTGTTTTTTAATTTTTATTTTTGTTTGTTTTTTATTTATTTTATTTTATTTTTTCTTTCCACAGTTCGGTGAAATATCACTCGGAGCTTCGGTGTGTGCTGCTCGTCGTTGGAGACCGTAATTCACATTTATATATTTTATTTGATTTTATTTTATTCACGTAGATTTATATTTCTTAATCTATTTTTTTTTTCCTTTTGTTAACAGCTTTTATCAACATGTCCCCACCAACAACCAGTACTACTTATACTAATACTACTACTACTACTACTACTACTACTACTGCCAATACTACTACTACGACTGTCAGTACTACTACTACTACTACTACTACTACTACTACGTTCCCTTTAATTACCAACGGGACAACACCTGAGCCAACCGTACCTCCAAATACTACGACTACTGCGTCCACTATACCCATGACTATTATTTCTATCAATGCTACTTCGCAAACAAGTACTACTACTGCGAATAGTACTACCACTGCGAATACTACTGCGAATACTACTACTCCACCCAACACCTCGTCTTTACCGGTGGCTCCAGAAACGACAACGGGCAAATCTGAGGAGATATTTTCAGGTACAAATATGAAGTTTTAAATCAGACCTGCTGTGTATATTTTACTGTACTGAAGTACGAGGACAGAACTGTGTTTCCAAAACTTTTTTTTCTGGGGATTTATATTTAAAAGTCACCGATCTTCACGACCCAAGTCCATAGAAATTATTCGTAAAACACAAATTAAATATGTGACCTTTATTGAACATTAATTACGACGGAGAATAAGGGTCAGATTAAAAAAAAAAAAAAACATGCTGGCGCTACGAGAATAAAGTCGTAATATTATGGAAATAAAGTCAAAGCCAGAAAAAGTCGTAATTTTACAAGAATAAAGTAGTAATTTTAGGAGAATAAAGTCGCAGTCAAAATAAAGTGGGAATATTAACGTCTGAACGAGTGGAGAATTTGGAGCAATTTTGTAAAGGAGAAGAATCTGTGTATCATTCGTTCATTCGACTGAACCAGGACTGAACCAGGACTAAACCAGGACTAAACCAGGACTGAACCGCTTTCAGGACTCCTGATCCTATTCCCGGTCTCAATCCTGGTCTCAGTTCTTGTCTGATCCCGGTCTAAGTCCTGGTCTCAGTCCCGGTCTGGTCTCGGACCTCGTTTAGTCCTGGTTTAGTCCTGGTTTAGTCCTGGTTTAGTCCTGGTTTAGTCCTGTTCAGTCCTGGTTCAGTCCTGGTTTAGTCCTGGTTCAGTCCTGGTTCAGTCCTGGTTTAGTCCTGGTTCAGTCCTGGTTTAGTCCTGGTTTAGTCCTGGTTCAGTCCTGGTTCAGTCCTGGTTTAGTCCTGGTTCAGTCCTGGTTCAGTCCTGGTTCCTGGTTCAGTCCTGGTTTAGTCCTGGTTCAGTCCTGGTTCAGTCCTGGTTTCAGTCCTGGTTTAGTCCTGGTTCAGTCCTGTTTCAGTCCTGGTTTAGTCCTGGTTTAGTCCTGGTTCAGTCCTGGTTTAGTCCTGGTTCAGTCCTGGTTTAGTCCTGGTTCAGTCCAGAGGCGCAAATAATGAAGAAAATTGTTGTTTGTTTTCTTATTTTTGGTTTTATTTTGAAAAACAAGGTTCTTCTTCTGCCGCATTTTTCACTTTGACTTTGATTTTATTACAACTTCATTCTCGTAAAATTACGACTTTATTCTCATAATATTACAACTTTAATGTCGAAATGTTACGACTTTATTCTCGTAGCGCCAGCATGTTTTTTTTTATTTTTATCTGACCCTTAAACTCCGTCGTAGGATTCGCATTTAAAAGTCACCAATCTTCACGACCCAAGTCCATAGAAATTATTAAGCACAAATTAAATATGTGACCTTTACTGAACATTAATTACAACGGAGAATAAGGGTCAGATAAAAAAAAAAAAGATGCTGGTGCCACGAGATTAACGTCGAAATATTACGAGAATGAAGTCGTAATAAAATCAAAGTCAAAGTGAAAAATGCGGCAGAAGAAGAACCTTGTTTTTCAAAATAAAACCAAAAATAAGAAAACGAAAAAAATAACAACTATTTTCTTCATTTGCGCCTCATTTCACTGAACCAGGACTAAACCAGGTCCGGGATCAGACCGGGACTGAGACCAGGATCAGAGCAGGACTGAAAACAGTTTAGTCCTGGTTTAGTCCTGGTTTAGTCCTGGTTTAGTCCTGGTTTAGTCCTGGTTAGTCCTGGTTTAGTCCTGGTTTAGTCCTGATTTAGTCCTGGTTTAGTCCTGGTTTAGTCCTGTTTAGTCCTGGTTCAGTCCTGGTTTAGTCCTGGTTTAGTCCTGGTTAGTCCTGGTTTAGTCCTGGTTCAGTCCTGGTTTAGTCCTGGTTTAGTCCTGGTTCAGTCCTGGTTTAGTCCTGGTTCAGTCCTGGTTTAGTCCTGGTTTAGTCCTGGTTTAGTCAGTCCTGGTTTAGTCCTGGTTTAGTCCTGGTTTAGTCCTGGTTTTAGTCCTGGTTCAGTCCTGGTTCAGTCCTGGTTAGTCCTGGTTTAGTCCTGGTTTAGTCCTGGTTTAGTCCTGGTTCAGTCCTGGTTTAGTCCTGGTTCAGTCCTGGTTCAGTAGTCTGGTTTAGTCCTGGTTTCCTGGTTCAGTCCTGGTTTAGTCCTGGTTTAGTCCTGGTTCAGTCCTCGGTTCATTCCTCGGTTCAGTCCTGGTTTAGTCCTGGTTTAGTCCTGGTTCAGTCCTGGTTCAGTCCTGGTTCAGTCTGTTTGCGGCGCAATTGTCCTGCATCGCATTTTAAGTCACGGAAACGCCATTTCCCAGTCCTGGTTTCAGTCCGGTCCTGGTCTGGCCCTGGCCTCAGTCCCAATCTGGTCCCGGTCTCAATCCTGGTCTTAGTTCTGGTTTGGTTCCGGACCTGATTCAGTCGAATGAACGAACGATACACAGAATTCTTCTCCTTTACAAAACGCTCCAAATTCTCCAGACTCTTTCCGAGCAGCCGATATTCTCGGAAAATTACGACTTTATTTTCGTAATATTATGACTTTAATGTCGAAATGTTACGACTTTATTCTCGTAGCGCCAGCATCATTTATTTTTTTTAATCTGACCCTTATACTCCGTCGTAATTAATGAGGATGTCTTATTGTGTATTGTATTATTAGTATTACCGTATTCTTCAGATTATAAAGCGCAGTATCAATAATGTTGAAATCTCTCGTCTGTTTTCATACATAAATCGCGCTGGATTATTAGGAGCATTAAACGAAACAAACAGACGACGACTTTTTCATTTCCTACGAGAGCGACTCAAATATACACAGAGTAATAATGTGTTTAATGCAGCTTTGACACATTTGTTTAAGTTTTACACAAACGAAACTTAAAACCACATGACTCATTTGCATAAACTATAAGCTCTGAAAAAAACAGCTCGCTCCTTGTGCGCTGATGCGGTTCAGATTCTGCTGGACTAAAGGACACACCTTCACTAGAATCATTTGGATCATTTCAGACTTGGAATTGCCGATCTCTAAATGTAAAAGTAAATGTAAATGTAAAACCAGAAAACGTAAACGAGTAAAAAATAAAATGAAACAAGTAAAAAAATAAAACGAGCAAAAAGATAAAATGAAACGAGTAAAAAATAAAATGAGTAAAAAATAAAATGGAAAATGGAAATGAGTAAAAAATAAAATGAGTAAAAAATAAAATGAGTAAAAAATAAAATGAGTAAAAATAAAACGAGTAAAAAATAAAATGAAAAATGTAAAAACAAGTAAAAAAAATAAAAAGAAACAAGTAAAAAATAAAATGAAACAAGTAAAAAATAAAAGTGTAAAAAATAAATGAAACAAGTAAAAAAATTAAACGAGTAAAAATAAAATGGAAATGAAAATGTAAAAAATTAAATGTAACAAGTAAAAAATAAAATGAGTAAAAAATCAAATTAAAAATGTAAAAACTAGTAAAAAATTAAATGAATAAAAAATCTAATTAAAAATGTAAACAAGTAAAAATAAAAACAAGTAAAAAATAAAATGAGTAAAAAATCAAATTAAAATGTAAAAAGTAAAAAATAAAATGAGTAAAAAATAAAATTAAAAATGTAAAACAAGTAAAAATAAATGAAACAAGTAAAAAATAAATGTGTAAAAAATTAAATGAAAAATGTAAAAACAAGTAAAAAATAAAAAGAAACAAGTAAAAAATAAAATGAAACAAGTAAAAAATAAAATGAAACAAGTAAAAAATTAAATGTGTAAAAAATAAAATGAAAAATGTAAAAACAAGTAAAAATAAAAAGAAACAAGTAAAAAATAAAATGTGTAAAAAATAAAATGAAACAAGTAAAAAAATTAAACGAGTAAAAAATAAAATGGAAAATGGAAACGAGTAAAAAATAAAATAAAAAATGTAAAAACTAGTAAAAAATAAAATGAGTAAAAAATAAAATAAAAAATGTAAACAAGTAAAAAATAAAATGAAACAAGTAAAAAATGAAATGTGTAAAAAATAAAATGAAAAATGTAAAAACGAGTAAAAAGTAAAATGAAACGAGTAAAAAAAATAAAACGAGTAAAAAATAAAATGGAAAATGTAAACGAGTAAAAAAATAAAACAAGTAAAACGAGGAAAAATTAAACGAGAATAAACTCTGAAAAAAAACAGCTCGCTCCTTGTGCGCTGATTCTGCTGGACTAAAGGATGTGACTCAGTGGAATAAAATTAAGGGATTTTACGTGCGCCTTATAGTCCGAAAAATACGGTACTCAAGTTTTAAACAAGGAAAAACACAGAACTTGGATAAACAAGGCGGTGCTTCTGAAAAAGTTTTATTCCAGCGAAGTTTATAGACTAATAAAGTTGTGTGTGTTTTAGATTAAATAACATCATGTCCTTTTTATTTTGTAGTTTTTATGGACATGCATCTGTCGACTTCTGGTCCTTTGTCTGAAGAAGAAGCTCTGGTGCAGGTCGGGTCGTTCTTTTACGTTTCTGTTTAAAGGTTTTGACGATTCCCTAATCTGGACTTGACCTGTTGTAAATATAAATGAGTTTTACACCGATCGAGACGCAGTTTGTGAAGAAAAGTTGAAAAAGAAATTCATATTTTACACAATATTTCAACCATATAAAGGTGTTTTCTTATATTTTTATTTGTTTTGTGTTAATCTCTGTGAATTTTAGGAGAGTTTTGTACAATATTTGAAGGTTTGTTGTGTAACTTTTCTGGTGGAAGGTCTGTCCGATCCTTTTTGCAGTCTTAGTCTCATCTCAGACTCAACCCCGTTTAGACTCGGTCTTGAAGGCGCTTGGACTCGACCTTCAAGGGGCTTGGACTTGGTCTTGTCTCGGTCTTGAAGACGCTTGGACTCGACCTTGAAGACGCTTGGACTCGACCTCGAAGACGCTTGGACTCGACCTCGAAGACGCTTGGACTCGGTCTTGTCTCGGTCTTGAAGGTGCTTAGACTTGATCTTGTCTCAGTTCTGAAGGCTCTTGGACTCGGTCTTGTCTCGATCTTGAAGGATGTTGGACTCGGTCTCGTCTCGGTCTTGAAGGCGCTTGGACTCAGTCTTGTCTCGGTCTTAAAGGCGCTTGGACTTGGTCTTGTCTCG